AAAAAAAAAAAAAAAAAAAAAAAAAAAAAAAAAAAAAAAAAAAAAAAAAAAAAAAAAAAAAAAAAAAAAAAAAAAGAGAAATTAGTAAATTGTATTCAATCGAACATTGTTATGAAATGTTTTCTCATTTTGACATTTATTTTACCTTGACAGCGTAAGTCCTTTCACAATCGGATTTGTCCAACTTGTGTGCCAATCTAACCACAGCCGTGGCACCTTTTCCAATACATCCCTTCTCGCATATACCATACTTCTTTGCCAACTCACAGTCGTGTAGCGACTTTGAACCAAGATGTTTAGTCACTTCCATCCACTTGGGAACTAGCATAACCTTTAGTCTCTTTTTATCGCTAATGCAGTCGGATTCTCCTTTCTCGCTATTCGGCGTTATTGGAGGGGAAGCGCCTGGCGTACTGGGAGAACGGCTATTGTTGTGATGATTACTGAAGAGCCTGGTCACATTTTGAAGCACGTGAGTGATTTTCTTCGAATGATTTGATGTAGAGCTATTCGATGTAGAGTTATTCGATGTAGAATTATTTGTAGAGTTAATTAGTGTAGAGTGATTTGATGTAATCGAAGAAGTGCTTGTGATTGATGCCGATAGTGTTGATGGAGGGCTTCTAGCTGAATCGCTCGAAAAGCTTGATTCCGGCATGTCCGTTGTTGGAGACTCGACAAGAACGTTGGTGTCGGTAATGACCTCTGTTTGGCTTATATTTGTATTAATATTGACAGGAATACTTTTGCTTTTTTTGACATTATTATTATGATTATCGGAAGCAATGTTTTCGGTTATGCCTTTTTCTTCCAAGGTGACTCTACGCCTGACGTTTGTGTCAAGTCCTGGGGCCCAAATGTCTGAGGGGAAGGTAACCATCGTTTTAGTGTAAGTAGGTAGTTAATTGAGAGGGGATTTTAAGATATGCACAAGTGATGGGAAGTTTGAATAGATTGGAAAGAGTGGGAATGAAATGTAATTGTATATAAGGAAAGTGGGGAGGGGGGTTTGTGTGGGAGTGAGTGTTTGGCAGGAAAGTGTAGTGGAGAACGTATTGGGAGAAAATAAAGGTAGTATAACGGTGAAACTAATTTAATAGTATTATTAGTGAATATGCACAACTGTGGATTTTATTTACACAAGAAGTTTCAGGTGCGCCATATATTTGTTTGATTTATAATCGAGACCGTATGGTCATAGTTCGCTATTTCGCTATGTGTGCGGCTCATGCAACAAGTCTAGATTATATATAGTTGAGGGTTTGTGCTATGCGAATCTTTGTTTACTTAACAACATGAAGCACAGGTCTTTGGCGATTGATTGATAGGGAAATACAAGTAGAAATTGGACAATAAAGATAAAGAGTAAAGTGTGAAACATGGGTTGTACTACAATCACTATCAGTAGAATCTTGTAATAGTGCCGTGCCGTTTGTTTTAGTCGTCAGCATTTTTAATGTCAATGTTTATTAGTCAGTCATTGATTAATTGTTAGTTGCTAAGCATTAGTCGTTAAGAGTTAGTGCTAAAAGTTGGTCATTAATCATTTAGCCGGTTGGTCGCTAGTCGCTTTAGAGGCGTTAATAGTCATTGGTAAGGCCGGTCCGTTCAATTACGATTTATAATTGGGAAAAGCCACACAGGCACCGCACAATGCCGCTACGGCTTACTGATATCTGATTTACATCTCATCTTATCAGCTATGCGTGCTCTGCACATCGATATGGAGTAAAACTTTTTATTCATTCTCACGATCTTCTCAGCTACAAGATCTCTCTAATTAGTATGTTGAGCAAGCAATCTGCAATTTTTTTCTCCTGTACATGGTAGAGATTTGATGCGGGGATATGTTTTTTGGGACTTGATACAGAACCCAAAGTAAATGTTGGTACCAAAAAAGCAATAGGGAAACCCTTTACCGAAACATACCCCCGATTGTCTGATCACCATTGCAATGACCAAGTTTGGAAGTTGTTTCATCATACCGACAATAATAGTAAAGCTGATAAGTAATCCCGAATAAAGTCAATTGGCAAAGTACATATCCAGAATTGGCGTATGAATGCATTTATTATCCATATCCATATATACATATACATATCAAATCTCAATATATGCTGTGCACAAAATTTAATTTTTTTTTTTTTTTTTTTTTCATCCGTAAAAATAAAATAAAATAGATTTTTTAAGAAACTGGCTGTCAAATGCGATTGAAAAAGATGCACGCATCTCAGCTGCAAAGTACAGTAACTGTTCTGTTGTTACTGTAAACCGTGTTGTTTTTACTCTTCAAGTGAATGAGAGCTTACGGAAAGCTGGGCTGTTCTCTAGCTGATGGGAAGGCTACACTACAATATAGATATGTAACAATTAATTAGATACAAACGTCGACATTTTATAATATTAGAGAAAGTTATTCCTTGTGTTTCCTAGCTGGCGATCTTCTTGGCATTAGTGTAATGTTTATGCATTACGATAACTGATAACGAAATTTTGCCCAATTCTTATTTTAGAAAAAAAAACTTTCCGGATTCTGCATGAACCCTGCTTAAAGGAAAGTGCTGCTTTTTGAAAAAGGAAACCCTAGTTGTCCCTTTGTATTACCATATTTGCATATACTTATTAATGATTTGTATGGAGAACCAACAAGATATTCGCAGATCATCTGCACATAGATAGATAATAAATTGAGCACTTGCGTATGTATCCGATTGGTGACACAATTTGATCACGCGCTCCGATAAGACAGCTTGTGTAGCGCAATATAAAATTGTACATTTTCACAGACGCTCAATTAGGGAAACCAGGGCAAGATTCTGATTATTCTGATTGATAAATATTATAAATATAACCCTCAATGTTACTAGCACGTTCTAACAAGTGCCGCAGAAATTCGTCGAATGCATATCTTTTGTGCACCATCAATAACGAACTCGTGCTTGACATCACGCACATCACGCGAGCAAAATTTTCATTTCCCGTTGGTTATTATTTATAACATGTGATTCTATTGAACGTCACCACCGTGATGTTGGTAAAGTTTGTCTTTCCCCAAAACTTTGCAATTTCACGTGCCACGTGCAATTAATCTTACAGACTTTGGGGATAGATAATATGAAAACAGACATTGTCAGATATAAAGAGCATAATGTAAAAGAGAGATCGCTGATAATATTGTGGTTCCGGACGTTAGACGACTAATATCTAGGCCCAATCCTTCCTGAAATCAGCCGATAAAACTAGGCCTGGCGCGACGTCCTATTAACACATTGACCCAACCCTTACGCCAACTTTAAGCTCATCCTTTCTGGCGCCTCCTTAATTCACTCTAATATGCCACTCTTCGATACATTCTTCACTCTTCTTTCCTCGACCCTTCAAGCTCCACCTGATCACCTGCGCATATTATTCATCCTTCTCGCTTCCTATCCTGCAGCATTATTGTACAAATCACTCCCACCAAACCCGAATTTGAAACATTTATTCTCGATAACGTTCGCTGCCCTAGTGTACCTCGGATTGTTCAATTTAGTGAGAGGATTCTATGAATTATTAGCTAGCGCTTTGGTGGTCTACCTGATCAGCTATACGGTTAGTGGGAAATGGGCCCCAATTCTAGTTTTTGCCTTTACCATGGGACATTTGAGTATTAGGTGGGTTTTTGCTGAAACGGGATTTTTCTAGAGGGGATGAAGCATGGGAATAGTTGGAAGATTACGAACAAAATTTTCCGATGCCTACCACACAACACCCCCCCACCTTCTACATATGCACATATATTACATATCGCATTTGTACGCACATACGAATTACAATGAACACATTTCATGCAAAACCTACATAAAAGTCGTCCTCAAGACAGTCAACTAACCGAGACTCTTGAATACCTTCTCACCTCTTGTCCACTTTTTCCATATCAATAAATGCAGCCACATATACCGCCAGCTATATCGTATATCATACGACCGGTTTGATATATCAGGGCCCCAAATGATTCTTGTTACGAAACTTACCTCGTTCGCATTTAATGTCTATGACGGACAACGGTCAATTAAGGTAGGCACGTAATCGGAGGGAGAGGAGGCTGTCTTTAGCATGCATGTGTCTCGTGTAAACAACATCCACAAATTAAATTAACATTAATGTTACTATAAAAGAAATTGTCAAAGGAAAGCGTTACTAACATCTAACATCTGAATTCTATCCATCCATCGCGACCATCGCTTGGATCCTCTCCATCCCATCCCATCGTCATTTCCGCACAATTTTCTAGACCCTCTCGGAATATCAAGCAAAAAAACGTATCCAAAGATTTCCATCTATTCTCGAATACCTCGGCTACGTATTCTTCTTTGGCGGATTTCTTATCGGTCCCGCATTTGAATTCGCGGATTATCGTGATTTCACGACTCTTGCCCTATTCTCTAATCCACCAGCAAGTTCCCGTTCATCAGACTCGCCAATTTTGTCCTCTGATGAGACACAAAGCCAGATGACTGATGGACAATCCGACGAAAAGGGTTATCAAAAGATGAAACAAGAAGGAAAGGAAGCAAAGATAGTTATACCTAATGGATTTGTACCAGGCATGAAGAAGCTTTTGTTCGCATGTTTCTGGGTTGTGTGTTTAATAAGCTTTGGGAGAAAGTATCCTATGGAGTGGACTTTGGGTGAAGAGTATGCCAACATGAGTTTCTTGGCTAGGTTTGTGTTTCTCTTTAATTGATATTTGGCTCGGCTCTGCCATGATTGCTAACTTGGTTGGCTCCGTTCGGGGGAAATTTTATAAGATTCTTTTATATAAACCTTGCGAGTTTTTGTGCGCGATTTCAGTACTACATCGTGTGGCTACTTGCCGAAGGTGCTTGTATATTGGTTGGACTTGGGTTTAATGGATATGACGACAAAGGCAAACCGCTTTGGTATGCTTGCTGACTGTATATTTACTTTTGGTCTTTTGTAATGTCATCCTAACTTTGTTGCACAATCAATTCTTTTCCCGATGCCGATTGCCAACACAGGGACCGTGTCTCGAATATCGATATTGTCGCTTACGAAACGGCAAATAATTTAAAGTCTTTTGCTGAATCATGGAACATGAATACAAACAAATGGTTAAAGAATTATGTCTATCTTCGTCTAGTTCCACCGGGAAAGAAGCCATCATTCTTTTCGACTTTTGCGACGTTTGCGACTAGCGCGTTCTGGCATGGATTTTACCCGGGATATTATTGTAATGCTTATGCGAGAGAGCTTTTGTTCTTGAAGAGAATGATTGAAGCAAATGTTTCCAACTGGCAAGTCAGTTAGCTAACATTTCTGTGCTTTTGTATTACAGTGATGTTTATGAGTAGCGCATTACTTCAGAGTCTGCACAGGAGTAAGTATTCATTATGCATTCTTCCCTCTCATTTGCCTTTTAATTCACAATCTCCCTATAATTAATTCCCATGCCTACAGATGTTCGCCGGAAAATCCGTCCTATATTCCTCCATACTCGTTATGCCAGCTACAAACCACTATATGATTTCGTAGGTTGGTTCATAATGCAATCCATGATATCCCACCTTGCAGTTTCCTTCGTGCTACTCTCTCTTCGTAACACTCTATACGTATGGCGGTTGAATTACTTGATTTGTCACGTCGCGATATTGTTCCTTTATGTATTTTTCATGATGGGATTGGATAAGCAACTCAGAATATTATTGAAAGTGGAGGAAAAGAAGGAGAAAGTATTGATTTTGGAGAACTTAGAACAAGAGGCATTGGAGGGAAAAAAGAGGAGAAAGATAGTAGGGGAGGAAAAGGACTTGTTGGTTAGTGAAATGGGTCTGATTGAAAAATGAATTCCTCGGTCATTCTGGAGATTGCAGTTGTTTTTTCTGTACATTTTTTTTTCACAACAAGTAAACACGGTATCACGTCCCGATTATCCGCAAAATTATACTTGCAAAGGTAATGGCTCATCATAATCACTTGAGAAGATTAATCTTTTTTATTGTCTGGTTCTTTTTCTAGCCCGAAAAGATTTCCTGATTGTGGCACTCTGTTGGCAATTATTATTGACAAACGTTGGGAGTTATGTTGTTGTCAATGCTACCAATGTCAAATTCACCAACCACAATGTTACAATGCTGGGGAATAATTGGTTTCATTGGCAGATTTTTTATAGTCATAATTTCCATACGGCTATTATAGGTTATTATTATGTCATTTAGCAGAATAAACCAATCAATCAAATCAGAAACCCTTAGTATTAGAGCAGCATCATTAAAATGATGATAGATAGGCAAAATTCTCATTGATGGTCCAGTTAAAAAAGACCATTGCACATTGTCAAAAGTCGCCTACTCAATATTGTTTAGATTTGTAATTTCAGTAAGCCCAACCATGCATGGTCTATAAACTTGCTTGGGTACTGTACTTGCAGAATATTTGAAACTAATTGGGTTAAAAATGCCAATGAAAAGGTTAAAAAGTTTAAACGTTATGAAAACTATATTTGTGATTGGAAAGAAAAAATTTTTTGTTAGTGAACAGTTTATATTACAAGGTTTTAAAGAAAAGAGCTAGGTAAAAGCCAACAGACATGCTGGAAACTCCAAGGCTGTTGCCGTACCTTTATGGTAAGCGCTAGTTCATTGACAAAGCTTTATCATCAAATAAGTTCTTCCAGATTACAAATGTAATCAAGACACTACATGAAGTATGTCTATTCTTTAAAACCAGTCTCAAAGATGAAGACTGCAAAAAAAAAAAGGCAGAGTGACAACAACAAACAGATTGACAAGTCTATTTGGACTTAAAGCCTTAGTGTTATTACGTTACAGTCCTTTTTATAAGATAATTAATTTTCCCCCCAGCTAATAGCTGTTAGAAACATATCTCCTTTATACTTCTATCTTAGTGCTCGATTATTATGATTTAGAATTAGGTTTTTGTATTCATTGTCTAGCATAAATATGTACAAACTTCAGCCACCAAACAGTATCAAGAGAGCAACCTGCCAGTTTTCCTCAAAGGCTGAAAGGTGTCGTACGTATGTCGTAAACATATCGTAATCATCACATACAGCGATTTCCCATCCAGACAGAAAAGACTGACGCCTGAAGAGCATATTAATACCTTGCCATAGCACTTAGCGCTAAATCCATTGCTTATTCCACAATAAATCACCAAAGATAATATTAACAAATTTTATACGACCATGTTCAAGAGGGTTGAGTCAAAAATAAACTTTTTATAACCACTCGTAAAAAATGTGGACATAATCTCATCAATGGCATAATAATAAATATGGAATTCCCTTACCACGTGACAAGAGACAACCTTAGTCGTGTGGTGCATGGTGATCACTCTTACATGCATTACGCATAAGCCAGGTCAGTCTGTCAAAAAGTACAAAGATATAACTATCACCATTACCCTTCTTCCACCGCCCAACAATTAATTTGATACATTCTTTAATGAATTGGTATGACATTCATGTGGCAAAGATGACAAGTCTGCTACATAAAACCAGTAGCTAGAAATTGGAAGACAAGGGCCATAGTATCACACAGACGGAACACTTGCTTATGCCCTGTAATCGTTCATTATGAGCTTAATTCGTGTCTAGGCAACGGAGTGTTTCATTTATTCGGTCCCAAAGATTTGGTACCTTGTGAAATCACAGGTGATACCCAAGCGTGATTTTCACATAATAATGTAACAGCTGGGGCCTGTCTTCATCTACACATTCAGATAGAGAACTTTCGAATTACTGGTTCCTGCAAAAATACCAAGGGTATCTGAGACCTCAATGACCAAAGAATCCATTTCGTTTCTGTCGCCTCATTGCAACCGAGTCAGGCATTCATTTGATAACTAAGTAAATAGCTCATAAGAACACGAGAACTGGCTTGATAAAGTTTATAGAAATCTTTTGGACATGACACACAACATAACACATACCAGTGCTGTTCGGAAGGTGCTACTTGCAATACTCGTCACAGTTTTACTGCTAACAATTCGTGTTTACGCCCTAGAGTCTGACAGTACCATTCCTCAACAATCAGAGTCACCGTTATCACCTGGATCCTCTCCAACCGCTCGCTCGTCCAGAGACCTCACTCCCGAAGAACAAAAGCAGAACTTTCGACTCTTAATCACTCCAATTGTCTTTGTCTACAACATTATTTATGTCATAGCCTCCAAGATAGTGTCAACTATTCTATACTGTCTTACACCAATCTTTTTCATTCTCAGTGTTTTGTATCATATATTCCTCCACGCTCCATATACAATAGTCAAACGCATCTTTACGGTGTTTTATCCGTTATACGTTTTCTGTACTGTAGCAGCAGTAATTGGAATGTTTGTTGGTGGAGTTGCTGGATGGTTTTCTGAAATTATCGTCAGTGTTCTTAATGCTCCAGTTGGGGCCATCATATCCGATCAAGAGAACAAGCGGGCAAAGGCAAGAAGACGAGCAGCTATGCTTGCCAGCCTAAGAGAGCGACATGGAAACAAGCTACCTGACGAGCTGAGAGATAAATTAATCAATGCTCAACACGGATTGCTTGAGAGACGTGGAGACAATGAAAGGTTCTCTGGAAATACTTATGGAGATAGGATTCGCTATGGCGACAGATACATCTCGAATCAGCAGCCATTAACCGGAGGTGGTGTTGTGGTTGGCAATTAGGAGAGGCGTGGTCGAGATGCGAGGAGGGGAAGGACATTTTTTTTTTCGGGCAAATTTAGTAGTTATATTTTCGTTGGCTTTATTATTCAATAATACTTTGTCATTCATGAAATTTTCAACATTGGGGAAAAATAACTAGTGCAATTATTGATTTCGTAAAAACATTACAATTGTATTTCGCACAGTCGAATCGATAGAATGTATTGCGTTTGGAGTCAAAGATATTTACAATTGCTATATAGTCAAGCACACTAGTTACTCTATCGTACATTCGGCACATCCTCATATATTATAAAAGTATATAAATATGTTAATATTACGACCAAAAATTATGTTTTAGCAAAATAGAATGTCTTTAGTATGCTCTGCAATTTATAGTCCTGTGTTGTTCATTGCCGACAAGTTTGTTGACCTCCTACTCTTCGTCCTATCGTGTTAAAATTCTCTTCAACTCTGCTTTTTGTTCGTCAGTCAGTCTTGCCGGGAACTCAATTTCATATTTCACAATCAAGTTTCCTTTCTCTCCTGATTTCGTGGGCATTCCCTCATTATGGATTACCTGCTCAAGACCAGGGGCGATTACAGACTTGTTTGTGATAAGCAATTTCCTTCCGTCTAAAGTCTCAATTTTCTTCTCAAAGCCACACAAAGCTTCAACAAGTTTTAACTTTATAACCATCCTCAAGTCATCCCCATCACGTTGGAACACGCTATGCGGCTTTTCCTCGATAACAATAACCAGATCTTGCACTTCTCCATTAGGCAACTCATCTCCTTTGTTGGGAAACCTTATTTTCGACCCCGCCTTAAGTCCGGGTCTGATTGGAATAACCAATTCTTCCTCTGCAGGTACTTGTCTTTTGGTACTCGCGTCGAGCAGCTTACGCTTCACTTTCAATCGCTTTGATGCGCCTTTATAGAGATCTTCGAGCGGGATAGGATATCTGACAACCGCCTCCTGGGCTTTTGGTTGGGAAAATGGTGTGGTTTGACCAAAATCGCCGAACCTGCTGCCACTCGTTCGTGAAAAAAAGTCATCATCCCCCAATCCACCCATGCCACCCAATCCACCCATGCCGCCCATGCCGCCCAATCCACCCATCTCTGCAAAGAATCTTGAGAAAATGTCTCGTGGATCGCTTGGATTAAAGCCTAATTAATTGAAAAAGGACGCAAGTCAACACTTGATATACAAGAAAATTTGTAGAAAATATACCCTTGATTAACTTGTGACGAAACATACCTTGTCCACCTGTCTTAAATGTGAATGTAGTGCTGCCACCAGGACGAAATTGTTGAAAACCAGAAAATCCACCGGGGAACCCACCAGGGAATCCACTAGCACCATCGGATGTTGGAGGAGGAGCGCCGCCTTTGAGGCCCTCTTCACCATACACATCATATATCTGTCGTTTGTTTTTATCGCTCAACACCTCATATGCTTCACTTATCTCTTTGAATTTCTTTTCTGCCTCCTCTCTGTTTGCTTCTTTGTTTTTATCCGGATGCCATTTCAATGCTGTTGGAAAATAAACGATTGATTATGAATAACATTCAAAACTCGATGTGTGTGAAATGGAACTGTTGTTGAATTAGATATTTACCTAATTTACGATAGGCTTTCTTAAGAGCCTCGTCGTCTGCGTCCTTGCTAACTCCCAGAATGTTGTAATAGTCTTGACCCATATTGTTATATTTTGGATGGTCTGTTTCAGAAAAAGTGTCTCGTACGATTCCCGAACGTCAAGCGTATTTATGGATCTGTAGCAAAATTCTAGACATTTGGAGTATGTCGTAGAAATTAATATTTGCTAGAACATTCTATTCACATATTATGAATATACTACGAATTATGACGTCATGAAATATGAGGTTCTTTAGATTTTACGACAGTTTTATGAATGATCCTTATTGTTTGGCCAACACAATATATTTTAACTAGTTGAATTGAGGATTTTTAAACCTACTATGAAGCTTCCTAACGTTAGCATTTCGTAAAGCTTATCAAGCGAGTTTCAATTGAATTATTATCAAACAAGTCATACGGTTCTCAATTACATAGTGTGACAGATAAGGGGAGACATATAAGTTGGATGTAGTTGATGTGCTAGCACGACTGAATTCAGCAGAGGCGAGAGAAGCTTGGAAAGAAAGTAGATGATAATGATGTCGGCCTTGGCTTGATTGGTAGAAGTAAATTCAAGGGTGAAGCGGACAATGCGCTTGCTGCATATCGTACTAGCCGTCGTGCTAGCTGTCGCGCGCGTCATGCTCTTCGTTGTGCTAGCTTATGCTAGCCCGTCATGTCGCTCGCGGTTGTGTCGTGAGTGTAGCTGTCTGTCAAAAAATTTTTTCTTATGATCTTCGGTTTGGGCGGCTACCCCGCCAATCCGAAGACCCCGTTAAACTGAAGAAAAGTCGCTCTACAGACGACTTTGGAATAGGGGTTCACATGTTGAAATATATTATGCTATTCTAATACATTCGAGACTTTGACAAAAATGTGATTGGCTTTTTATTTTGATTGAAAAGACAATGTCCGATACACAATTCATTGCAAGCCATCTGATTTTTGAGTCTTCTGAGGTACTCGGAACGGCGTGTTTTAGGTTTGATCCGTGGTCCGTCGTGTTTATTTTTGCTTGCATGCTGCATGAGTTGAGTATAAACAGATACTTCGCGTCTGCCAAGATTCTGAAAATACATGATTAATCATCTGCAGCAGAAAACTTTAAGGGACTGATAAATTAATTCCTTACTTTCATCTTTAACATCAATGAACAACAATCAATAATTTTTGGTAGTTGGGGGATTTGTGTTGGTAACTCAGCATTCTCCAAATTCCAAAGAATGGAAAATCCTTCCCCTAGGTTGATCAGAAGAAGTGTCTCCATTGTTGATGCTGAGGTGACAAAACCTGAGAGAAAAAGCTTGTTGCTGGCTGCTAGTGTATCAACATGGCAGCTTCCATTTCCTTCTTTGATAATATTGCATAGGAGCAGATCACGTTGGTCACGCAGTGCCTTTGCTTCCTTCAGTCTGACACTTTCCTTCTTCTTCTTTTTTTCATTTCTTGGACCTGCCCTTTCACAGCCTCCCATCTCCATGCCCCATGCTACATCAGCCTTTGCATCTTTTCGGGTGAAAAGCCAATCCTGGTGATGGCCTTCAGTTTTTGAGTTAGC